GGGGTGTGTTAGAACGAGCCGTTTTAGGTAGGCGTGGCTGACTCTTAACTTTTATAAAGAATATTTCTTTGGATTTGAGACTTTAGTCTTTGCAACTTTACAAATCTTCTTTATGCACCAAGAGCTTGTAACACTCCAAAGACAAAGGAAAAATTGAAATCGCATCATATGACCCCCTTAAAATTCATGTTACCATTCTGATCTCCATTTTCTTTATTAGCAAAATAATCTTACCATACATTTATGTGATATCTCTTTTCATATCTCACATTAAGTAATACTGAATAAACTTTAATGGAAATATCCAGAATATTTGACAGTCACCTGTTTCTCCATTTTCTTCTAATCATAATCTATTGTAAGTGTATTTGTAACAACCAATGACAAACAGTAATGCATGAAGAAACTAGAGTTCTCACCACAATCACGAACACAGCTGTCTCCTGAACAGTCTTCAGGACTTGTACTGTATGTACCGCCTTATATTGGATTTGTTCTGCCAGCTAAGCAGAAGTTAAATATGGCTAACTAATGGCTAATATGGCATGAATGAGAGTCAAAGGAATTGGTCAGGTGAAGCACTTGGCACTGACAATCATTCTGAAGACAGAAATGACTAACTGTACTGCATATGTCATTTTTCTTCCAGAACATAAATAATGTAGGCCTACTTGTGTTTCATTGTTTGTCTGTGAAGTTTAGATACATATGAAAGTTTAGATATATATGATCCTATATACTCTCTCTCTCTCTCTCTCTCTCTATATATATATTTCAGGGCAATTTATATGCTACAGTCCAGGGAATAATATTCTACAGATAATGTTAAGAGTCAATGCCATGCCAAATTTGATAAGCATTTTTTTTTTAATCTTCAGAACATATGTAAGATGTATACCAACTTTTGGGTTAAAAATGTAAAGTTGGGTTAGTCCATATTTGACCCAAAGTTGGGTTGAAACGACCCAGCATTTTTTAGTGTAAGTTAAACTTCACACACACACACACACAAAAATCCCCACCTAAAACTGCAACTAGACTACCCTATATGCAAATAACAGATATGTTCACATATTTATGTTGTGCACGTAACACTGAATTGTGAACATGTTGACAAACTAATCTTTTATTGTGCCAAAAATCTTCATTCACTCATTACACTTGCTCATACCACAGACTCCACCGTATGCAGTGGCCCCTGCAGAGCTCCCTGGCATTATCACTATTTCAACACCCTCTTTCCTCCTGAATATCTTAAGACTTGTCATGTAATTGGAGACTCCCTGGGCCGTATTTCTGGCATGTCCACCATGTGTGCACTCAGTAAATTAAATGATGGTGCCAAGTGGCGGTTCTACATGCCCTGGTGTTATATGGTGTATATTTACAGGCCTAGTTCCAGCACGTAATTTAATCTGCCATATACTAACAGCAATCATCATAAGAATTGTAATAGGCTCAGCCTCTGTAAAATACAACTGATGATGCATTAAGTCATAATTGACTAACTGAGCCAGGAAATAAAGAAATCCTTATACTGTCAGGTTTTTAATAGCCGTTTACATTACTTGACTGTAACATACTGTCATTTGATTGTGTAAAATCCCTCAACAACTTGTAGGAATGACAGAGATAAAGCTGTTTTGTGCCCTAAGCAACAAATTCAAACCAGCTAGATATATACATATAAAATATGCTTGATAATCTGTCAGCAACACAGATCTTTGAGTAAAAAGGATATGTCATCTGGCCAATTTATAACTAAATCAAGGTAACAGAAAAAGGGAAAATACTGAGCATTTGTCAACACATTGCTGTTTTTACCGTGCCTAGTGTAACTGAGACATGTCATTTGATGACTGCTCCCGAGTAATGTGATGAAAGCTGTGGAACACATACAAAAATAGTCAAGGTAAAACTGTGGAGGTAAGAAGAAACCTGCCTCCATACTTCTAAACACCCCAAGAAGGAAACCAAAGAAGGAAGGCTTTGTTTCATAACTGACTGTGTCATGACCTTCCTCACAAGCAGTGTGGTAGTGTGAAGTTAAAAGCACTGAGAATCTGGTGTCAGCTCTACAGCTTTAAATACCAGCACCATCTGAAGCTCTACTCAGCTGCATGATCAGATTTAGTTATTTGCTTTCCTATTTATTGATTTTCCCAGACAATTTCAGTTCAAAGTCAGATTCAAATTGTTATATTATTTCCACCATTCTCAAAACAGATGTACTAAAATAGTCTCTCAAAATCAAAAGGATTGTCCTGGCATTACATGACACAAGCCCCATATGAAGCCTCTTTCTTTCTTTTTAGCCTGAGAATGTGAACTGGAAAATAAAATCTCTCTTTATTACTTACTGGTTACATAGGAGTGATTATCTTAAGAGTTCTTATACAGCACAAATTATGTATTGCATAATGGTATTTAAACCAAAGTAACAGCAGAACTCATCAATTTAGCATATTACTATCTCTAGTAATGTTTAATTCATAATAAGATAAATATTTTCATGCAAAGCCAGTATTTACAAATTCTTCTAATGTTAGCTTTCAAAAGCAAAAGGTTTAACACATTCATTACTTTCAACACACATATGTACACATACATATTAAATCAGATGGGCTATGCCTAACCCTTAACTAGAACTGTAAGTTACTTGTCACCAGTTAGGCACAGCTCATCTGATTTTGCAGGTAACTGTTTGTCTATCATGTGAATAGGGATGACGATCTCTCCAGGGAGACTGATATTAGAGCCAGGCAATGGGGCCTCAACTGAGAGAATACCATCTGGAGACAGCATGGAGTTGATCTGTTTTAGGTCTAAGTCAGCTGGAAGCCTAATGAATTACACAAGAGAAATGAAACCAGCCATGAGTAATACCGTACATTCTGTACAGCTGTAATACAAGATTTTAAAATGTAACTCTTTTTTAAATACATGAGAAGTTACTATGAGAACACAAATTGAAAATAAAAAAGTAAACCAAAAACTCCCTTACTTGTATTTTCTTGTAAAGCTTCTGGAGATCAACCTGTGATTTTCCTGCCTTTCCTCACGATTACCTATGAAAGAAAACATACCATTGAAGTCTCTAGGAAATGTGATCTGCAGTATGTGATGTCATTGCATACGCTGGTTACATTCACATAAATACGCAGTGCATCATAAATTCTAAACAAAGAATAAAGCCAGGCATATGAAGGTCATCATACCCATTATCTCCAAATATCCCTCCTTGGTTTTGATGTTTATCTCCTCTGGAGAAAATGGACTGACATCTAGACACACTTTCCAGTTTTGCTGTCCTTTCATTTGTTCATATAATGATTCAGAAACACATCCTTCTGATCCAGTACATGGTTTAGGTGGAATCTCCATGCACAAAGAGCTGAAGAGAGGTATCTCCATGCACAAAGAGCTGAAGAGAGGTAAACGCATAGATCCTGGCCAGGTTGAAGTCCCCAATCTTTTCCTTGCTGATTCTATCCAGCTAACCTCATCTGGTTCGAGGAAACAGGGGAGGTCGGTGTTTTGGTTGAAAAGGTTTTGTGTCTTTTCCTGTAGAGGGTCCCAGCAACCATTTCTTTGAAACAAAGGACGGGGCATCTTTAAACAATTTAAAAACTGAAAAACGCTTTGAGCTTTCAATACCTGATGCTGATACAACAACAGTGAACTTGTGAAATGCTACAGAAAGCAGCCGCTCACTTCTTTTATACTGTTCTTGTCTATTAAACCTTTATCCCAAATTATCCAGTCCCAAACGTCAACAAAGAGGCTTGGCAAATCTTTCACCCCTGTGTTACAATCTGACGTACACAGAATGATGCCATCCTGTCTGTATTAATAGAACTGAAGGGGTAATGGCAAATTCTTGGCGCATGATAATGGGCACACTGGCAATAGTGTCATTGCATTAATGGCCTCTGTAGTCTGGTCACATCTTGGAGCTCTTTCTTTCACTATAGTTACCAACTTTGTTGTACAACAGTATGTACTTTCAGCATTTATCTCAGCTCTTGTAAACAACATTTAGAGCCAGATATACTAAGATGCATCGCATAACATTAATAATTGCTCTGATTTTACTACCTGATGTTAAATTGAGAGCAGGTGACAAAAAAAA